CTTACAAATCAAAAGAAACATTAAACCGAAACGTCAATATAACCTTCACCATGACTAAACAATATTGCACAGTAAACAAATTGGCTCTAAATGAAAAGAAAACTGTTCAGATGAACTACCGGTACTTTACTAAAATAAAGACACAAACGTATTGATCCCTGGGATAGAAGCACAAAATAGTACAAAATATCTTGGCATTATCATGGATTCAAAACTGAAATGGAAACAGCACATTAACCAACTCTGCAAGAAGCTACGCTCTGGCATTTATGTCATCAGGCGAGTGAAGCAGGTTGGGGGTCTGGACAAGGCAAAAACAGCCTACCATGCCCTGGTTGAGTCACACCTCAAGTATGGTCTGGTGGTCTAAGGAAGTACATGCAACAACTATCTAAAAAGAGTCCTTTTCCACCAAAAAAAGAGCTATAAGATGTCTAGCAGACCTTCAATATCAAGGAAACAGCCGTGATGCATTTAAGGAACTAAAAATCCTCACACTGACATCACTTTACATCCGTGAGGCAATTCTCCATGCTATCTCCACAAATCAAACAAGAAACAGAGACATTCACCATCACAATACACGGAACGCCTCAAGCTTTGCAATACCACCTCAACATCTAAGCCTCTTTGAAAAAAAGCTATCCTACAAAGGGGCCCTGTATTTCAACAACCTACCAGAACAACTTAGAAATGAACAAACTAACCGTATCAAGAACCAATTAACAACATGGCTGCAAGAAAGGTCATTCTACTCAGAAAAAGAATTCCTTGACAACCAGCTTTAACAACATATTAAATCCACAAATTTTAGTTCTTTTTCTGACGCATACACTATTCTCAACGAGCATGTCAATAAAGATTATCGTCTATTGTCTTGCAAAGTCAACATTTTAAGCACTCTGACGAAGAAAAAGTTTAATCTCTTGTAATCTGAAAAGAAGAGTTTAAGTGCAAAACTTTTTCTGCTCTTACGGGCCCTGTAATTTCACCCATGGTGTCTATTTTTAAATGTTTTGTTTTATAATGTTGACACGCATTGTATTCCTTCAGCAATGATTGTTTCAGAAAATAAAAAAGTTCCTCGCTTACTACAACAGGTCTACCTATGTTTTTTCACATTTGAATAGAATTGATTGAAAATCAATTCAAACAAATGGAAATTTGCTTAGTCAACAGGTTTGCTGCGGCAGGGGTATTTTTTTTTGTCCTAGGACGCTAGGCACGAGCCCAGGATTGTTTTTCACATTACTTCAGGCTAGACCTAGGGGGTGCGGCATCATCACTTAGATAAAATCCATTGGTGATTGGGGGGGATTTGAACCTGGGACCTCAGGTATCGAAGTTCTCTTATCTCAAAAAAATAACGCACAAAAAATATGCAGCACATTATCAAAGATTAATTTAACCATGGGTAATCTAGTTTTACCTACTAGTAGGGTAGACTAGTTAGTAGTTTTTACTAGAGTTAGCTAGGATCCAGCAGTTCCAACTAGCAAGGTACACAATGTCACGCTCCATTCAAATATATTATAAGCTCATATATTTTGTTATGGATACCTGCTTAAAATTACTTGATCAGAGCACAATCTGCTTAGCTAAGTATACATACGGTAATCAATGGTTTTACTACCGAAATTACATTTTTTTGTTTGATTACAGTATATTTTCCTCAGTACAGTGTTTATTTTTGTTTTGTTTTTTATTAAAAAGGTAAAATAAATACTTTTAAAGTAAAGATTTTATTGAAGACGTGAGCAAATAAAATATTCTTTATTCATGAGAAGTTTTTTTATTCAATAGCAAGACTTCAAATCAAAACAGGCAATGATATGCACTTATATGTTTTAGCCCTCTAGTCCGCACGTTTAAATACTTACGTTTTATAATTCAAGCACTACCTTACTGAAATATTAGGGCATGATCTAAATACTGAATGTTTCAATTTATGATCAGTTATTCCTTCTATAATCTTTAGTTCTTGTATTCTATGACTATGTCCAAGCTCAGTTCTCTGAAAAGCTAGAGTTGAAACAAATTCTTCAAACTCCAAAATCAGACTTAGTTGCATCTTGAATGTCAAATAGATAATAGAAGATGCCAAAAGAGGAAGTAATGCAATAACTGTGCAAAAAGTCAATTTTACCTCCTCAAGTGTCATGAAATTTGAAGTCACACTGTCTGGTATAATCTTTGAAAGAAGGATATCAGCTAGATGTGTTAATAGTGGCCAGAATGTGACCAATAAAAATAACAAAACCCATAGCACATACTGTTGTCTTATTGTAGTTTGGAGAAAGGACATGAGTTTTGGCTGATATAGGGCGATAACAAGTAACAAGAATGTGACATTTATTAGGCAGATAACTGATGGTATAAAGTTATTGTTTTCAATCCCACAGTTGAAAAGATTTATAATGTTAAACAGTAAGTCTGAATTATATGCCATGATGTGTGTCTGTGTTTTAATTTGTGATGAGAAAGTTGTATCCAGGCAACGGCAACAGCAAAATTTATCATTGGAGTCTAAAGCTTCGCTATTTCATCACGATGTTGCCCCCTGGCACTGCGGAGTGGCGGAAGCACTTTAAACCGTCATTTAATTTTGATTTTTATATCTTTTTTATACAATCAGCAAGTTTGGTTAGTTAGGTTAGGTTATGACAGTTTAATTTTATAATAATTTATAAAACTAATTTTATAATTTGAATTTTTTAACTCATTTTGTCCTTATTGAAAAACCGTAGCATAGGATATGTATGTAAAAGATAACGCAGGATTGTCTTGGACGCCATCTAGAGGGGAGGTGGAGGGAAAATTATTTCCCTCAACAGCGCCAGGGGACAACATCACGATGATACAGCGAAGCTTTAGACTAAAAAATTGTACAAAACCAGGTTTAAATTTTTAGTTTATATTTTATGTAGTTTACTTTTGAACAGGCCATTATGGATTTTGGCAATGATATTCAGCTGACTACACCACATTCCTTGAACCCTTTTATCTACTATTTTCATTTTAATTAAAATGGTTTGAAGTGAGCACAATCAATTTCGCTTAGTATCATAATGTATATATTTTAATATACAGGGTGACAAAAAAGTCTGGAAACGGCTTAATAACTTTTTAACACGTTCGCTGCGGCACGTCAAATAGCGGGCGTATCCCCAGTGCGGCGCAGCCCTCAGCGTCGAGTAAACCCGATTGCCGCGTGTGATTGGCCTTTTCAATTTTGGTCTGACGAATAGCAAATAACGTGAGGGGATGTCCTGCTTTACAACGAGAGTCGATGTAGTTCGCTAAACACCCACAGATAGCAGCACTGCTTGGAACGTAGCCGGTCCCATTGGAATTGTATTGCCAAATGGAGGGAAAAAGACGGGAAAAAAAGAAGACTTTTGAGATTGCCAGACGGGGATTTTACGGGGAAATTTACTACCAACCTACACCACAACAAAATGCAAGTCACATACTACACGCTAACGTCGTATAGGTCCGCTTTCGGCCGACGCTGGAGCAAAAACGAAGATATACAAAAGGCATTACCGAGCGTTCCCGATGGGGTACGGACGCACCGTACGGGGGCCAAGCACCGTACCCGATCGGGAACGGCCGCACTCTACGTGTTAACTAAATGCGTTAGAAAATTCATGCCCTTCACAACAACTTACATGTATAAAAACTACTTTTTCCAAGCATTTTCATTTTTTTACCTCTACCAGGGGACGACCCATGAGGAGTAGGTACATAATCTTAAATGTAAGCATAGGTTGATATGCACATCATTTAAAGGGTTAGTCAAGTGGAGTTCATTGCTGGAAACCGTGTCTCAAAGGTAACCAATAAAATGGTGGCTGTTTAAAGTTCTTATGGAATATACCCGCAAAGGCACAAAAGCATGTATTTAGCTTTTGTAATAAACTTTTAAGCAAAACTAGCTGTTACCTAAGGGCTTCACCCCGTTTGACATTTTTCAAACCGCTTAAATAGTCAGGGCTGGCCTGAGTGGTGAGCGACGTATGCAGCCGCACAATCGAGCTTTTTGGAGGGGCATAAAATTGACCATTCTTGTTTTTAAATTGGCGAATTAATAGAAATTGATTTAAATGTTGGGCAGCAATGTTACACTGTTACAGTTCAATTTCAAAGTTAAAACCACATGACATTAAAACCTGATGAACCATTTATAAACACCCTGTATTTTATTCCTGGTAGTTTTCATGACAGTAAACATTTCTAGAGTAATAGCAAAAAAACCCCTTCCAAATAATAAAACAAACTCCTCTTGTAGAGAGTTAACTATTCCAGAGCTGATGAAAAATTTACAAATAGGTATTCATTCATGCTTGATGACTCAAAGGGAAATAAAAAATCTTCTAGTTCAAATCATATTTATACAAGAAAAATAATATATTGCACAAGAGCTTAGTCTAGTTACGCTATCTGTGGTTTCAGACTTTATGCTTAAAAAAGTAGGTACTCAGTTCAGAAAGCTTTTTTTTGTTTTTAGAACAAATAAATGCATATAATATTTTGAATTAAAAACCCTGCAAGAGTTAAACAAGTTATTATAAGTCAGTACAATAGAGAGCTCACATAATGCAATATAATAGGTTGGCTAATATAAATGGTATCTACAATACTAGAAAATGTATGATCCATGTATGATCCATATGCTTGTGACTTTGTCAATTGCACACATGTGTTTAAAGACAATAAAAATCTTTGACTTTGACTAGTAAATCATTCAGTTTTTATTTTAAGCTGAAATATTTTAAAGGTAATACAACATTATCAAGCCTAATCACTGCATCACACTTTCTAATTAATAAGTAATTCTTCGCACACCTAGAAAGTACTTTGATGTTTGACTTGTACTGTTCTGCCAATGTAACTTGTAACTATATTGCCTCTAAAAATATAAAATTCCCTTGTAGAAAACTAAACTCTCAGTGGCTTTAGAAAATAAAAATAACGGGGAATTTAAATAAAGACAATAATTCAATTAAAACCCAACACTTGTTAAGGCATAGATCGCAGTTAGTTGTATTTTATCACAGCAGATTGTTTGAAAGACATAGAGTAGAATAAAATCCAAATGGATCAATGAGCACATTTACAAATAACAATAAATATTCACCATGGTCATTCCAATATTTGCACAAGATTATTTGAAGATATGGCACTATTTCAGTATTTTTAACAGCATACAACGTATATTTTAACACAAATCAAATAAAAGTTACTTTAATTGAAAACTAATTATTTTAGCTTACTATTTACACTAAACTAAGACAAATCTATTCTAAAAAGACCAAACAAACTCAGTAAAATATAACAGTGATATAAACATGACAAACTGGCATCTTTCTTTACACGCATCAAACACTTTACTTACCATTTCAAACGAGGCACAGTTAGTAAAAATCCTGCTGAACAAAGCGGGACCCACCCATAATAATTGGTTCATAATGGAAAGGAAAGCACTTTGTAACGTAAGCAAGAACAAAGAGTAGAGAATAATTTACCTGAATAAAAAATGGCAATAAATATAAAAACTAAACAAATGTTTGGGTTCCATATAAATAATAATTGTTTTTGCAGTACACGGTTTTGCTTGGAAACATGTTGTTTTAGTAGTGTACGTAGTTAGAATTTGTATCAAACAATGAAGAACTTAGCGGTGCTTACAAATAGGGCGTACCCGACCCGATGCGACAACAGTGATATGATATGATTGGTTGTTCTATAAACAACATTGCTTTATACATGTGACATCCCAAATGAAATGTTAACCAATTGCGTTCACCCAGCAATTACACCCAGGGAGGTTTCTTGACATAAAAAATTGTAATCCTAGAGGACAAATGGCAGTAGCCTAATAGCTATTTACCTTACAAGTGTAGTAAGAACGTTTTTACATCACGCAGGTGAATGTAGTGCATCGAGAAGAAGGGAGTTGCATAATTCGCCTAAGTGATGTAAACACGCTTTTGCGTAACGTGTAACGTACGAGATTTTACCTGACCCGACAATATACAGGGGGTTACTTGCAATATTTTTCACTATCCATTTCACTCATCTTCTAACAGTAACGTTCTTTTACAAACAAAAGCTAGGTTAGGAAAATTCTTTAAAGCATAAGAATAAAATGCAAGCACACAGCTGATTTCTAGCGTTATGTGTTGTTGACTCCAAAGAGGTATAATTTTTTAAGTTGAGCACTCAATGTTATTTAAATGGGTTTCATTACTTCACCGAGTGAGTTTTTAAAACACTTCACTCGTGAAGTAAAGAAGTTGTATACATCACGCTTGGGATAGGGAAGTTATACTTTAATGGCGGGTTAGGTAAAATCATTTTAGTGACATCAAGATAACAATAATTTTCTTCAGCAATGGTGTTTTTTTAGCCATGGAGTATGGTATGAATAAATAAGTGAACATGTGCAATCACACAAACAAATAAAAAGATTAAAATATACAAAGACTCATTTGCCTTCTCTAATGTGTAAAACATGTAAACCCTAAACATTGCATAAACCCATTCAATGTACAGTCAAAACTCTAATTTTATTTTTATTGATAAACCTATTACTAGAGATTAAAAGCTAGAATGATTTTTGATAAAAAAAAATAAATAGTATTTCTACATCACACGCTATAAACACACAGCTTTCCATTAGATAAAGTTTAGGCTATTACTATTCAGGCTCGACTTGTATAACCAATCTTTTTTTAACCTAAGCGGTTAAATTTATTTGACAAGCTATACGAGTATTGTTTTTGAAATCTCAAATCACTTTTTCAAACAATATCATCTACAGGTACTGTGATTAATTTAGAGACAAACCGCCAGTAAATTTAACATTCTCAATGAAAACAAGTTACCAATAACTAGAAAACAATATAAAATTCTAGTCTAAGATTGTTATGAGTTTGGGTCATCTTCTTGATTGTCTGATAAAGGTGTTTCTTCTTCTTTACCATCAGCAGTTTGACTCAACTCTCTGAAAAAATACATATGTATATCAAAGTCATGTAGGAAACCATCCTTAAGTAGCTTATAGACGGGGACAGTAGAGACGGCAAGTAGCTGGCTGCAAGTACTTGCCATTTGCACTTACTGCATACTTTCCTTGTGTATAGGGGTACTTTCCTTTCCAGCGGCAAGTATTTGCTGGCGGTAAGAAAACTCAAACATGTTTGATTTTACTGGCCTGGCCGTGGCAAGTAGTGGGTCACGTGGGTGGTCACGTGACCACTGGTGGCCAGGACTTTCCTGTCAAAACATGCACTTGCCACTAATAGAGCAGAGTGGCAAGTGAAATTATAGTTGGATCAGTTGATCGTGTTTATAGAAGTGAAAAAGTTATTTGTTAAGAGTACAAAGTTTGTTTGTTTAAAACGTCAGAGTGCCCTGTTTAGAAGAAAAAAAAACATCAAGTGGAGTTGTGATGACATCATCAAGTTTTTAGAGATCTATCAGATCCAGAACAACAACACATTCAGCAATTGCTTCATCAAACGTTTTACAAAATTCTTCATCACAATTAAATCCAACTATCGACTCCATTCACTCGCGATTTCAAAGCAGACTGGCTGAATCTCTTTCCTTGACACTGGCCACCAGTACTTAGCCAGTGTATAGGAAAACATACGGCAAGTGACGTAATGGACAGTACTTGCAGCCAGCAACTTGCTGTCTCTACTGTCCCCGTCTATACGTTGCTTTAAAGCCATGTTTATACGAGGCCAGTTGGCGGGCAGGCTACTTGCCTCAGGTAACTTGAAATACAGAGGCAAGTAACCTGTCTACTCTACTGACCTCGTGAAAACGAAGCTAAAACTGTATTAACATGAAGCCAGTTGGCAGGCAGGCTAATTGTCTCAGATAACTTGAAATACAGAGGCAAGTAACCTGTCTACTCTACTGACCTCGTGAAAACGAAGCTAAAACTGTATTAACATGAAGAAAGTTGGCGGGCAGGTTACTTGTCTCAGGTTAAACTGTATTTACATGAAGCCAGTTGGCAGGCAGGCTACTTGTCTCAGATAACTTGAAATACATTAGAGGCAAGTAACCTGTCTACTCTGATACTTGATTCTATATATTTATTTGCTTCAAAATTCTGTAGCATACTTGATTCTATATACTTACCAGCTCACTTAAGAATCATACAAAATCAAAGGTCACAATACTTGTCAAACTTCCAATCTCATATACCAACCACAGTGTTAACAATACCCAACCAATACAAAGACATAACCCACCAACGGTCTTTCCACTCAAATGAAAAGACACAGACAATATGTTTAATCAGGCTACAAAGACAAACCAGTCCCTAACCATGCAACCAACCACAATACCAACAGTTTTAGTTTTAACCATATTTTGCCTCTCAAGTTTCAAGAGCTCTACACCTTAACTGTGATCTCTCCCACCTCAGATGATGGCAACCCTCCTATCAATGGTTTACAGAATCCAGGAATCACTTAAATCTTAACTTAAGTTAATTCCCCTCCCAACACCTTCCTTGAGCAGGCTTAAGGGCTATAACCAGTGAATTGGTTATACTCTTAATCTTGTATACATAAAACATTTTTTGCAGAGACTTTTTTTGATGCAAACCTGGAGGTTGGCACAACAAAATCCTACGCCACCATTACAATATTCCTTTCTATGCGAATGACAAAGCAGTCAGTGACTATAAAATATTTCAATCTTGTGTGTTGTGTTTCCTACTGAGAAGACTCACCTACTGATTAGGTAAGCCTACTTCCTCCTATCAAAAACCAATTCCATATAAAGTTTATCAATTTACAAACTACAAACTAGCATCAACTTTTTAAAATAAATAAACACAACTTTGTTAAAAGTTAAAATGCCTGCCAAAAACTGCCTTAGAAATAGTAGATTTAGGTATCTTTGTTTAAAAAAAAGATTTAAACATTTTGTTTGTTATCTCTATGCATCAATTGGACCTCGCCAAAAAGTTTTTTAAACTTTGTGAGGCCAAGCCGTTGTAATTTCCTTAATAAATATATTTGACTTGGATTTTGAATGAGGATTATTTACTACATTATCGGTCTTCTGGTGAGAGCGTGTAAATCAATATTTACACTATTTACAAAACCAGATGTTATACCTATTTTACAATGTGGTATCCTCAGTCTCAGCTTTACCACTGAGGACGTCTTGTTGTAGAATGGGTAAAACGTCTGGTTTTGCAAATACCAATTAGACGACTCTCACCGAAAAGACCAAGAATGTAGCGATGACACCTGCCACTCAAACCTACGAATGTAGATGAGAAATAATAATTATGCCTGTGAGGCATTTAAACATTTTAAAACCGAAATGGCAATGAATAATTTGTCTAGTCAGGCTCACAAAATGGACAATTCCCAACACTAAAAACAAAAAACTATTCCCATGTTCTATGTGTTATTTTCAATTTCCAAAACACAAATTAAAATGTATATACAATTTAAAAAAAATCATAAATTAAAACAAGAATTGGACATAGTTATGCAAACAGAACCAACCCACAATTTTTCGGATCTGTTGATATGACAACCAGGTTGTAGAGCTCAACAGGCTTTGCTTGTTTTTGGTAAAAATGTTCAGTTTTGACTATGTTATGATTCGACACACTTATTCATTTGTTTGTAAAATAAAACTGATCAAAATATTCGTTCATATAGTGGTGATATTATTTCATACAGATTAAACATCACTATAAATGTAATATCATCATGTGGTATGTTTCTCTTTGGTAAATTAAAAAATTTGAGATAAAGAACATCTTGGCCGACCTAAAAGATAAAGGAAACACAAGTATGGTAATTTAACAAGAAATGAAAGAACTGAGAAGAAATACCGATATGAAGATCATATTAATTTTGCCAACAAACTCACACCACCAAAACTCTTAGAGGTTTATTTTTTAAGTTAAGCACTCAATGTTATTTAAATGGGTTTCATTACCTCACCGAGTGAGTTTTTTCCAACTTTACATCACTCGAGAAGTAAAGGAGTTGTATACATCACGCTTGGGATAGGGAAGTTTAACATGGCGGGTTAGGTAAACACCTTAAATGTCAGGTAATGTTGTAGATTTAATGAAATTGTAACGATAACAATAATAACAAATTGTACTGGCTTTAATTAGCTTATTCTGTGAAAATGTTTACAAAAGCTCTTTGGTGGTGTAAAAAGTTTGTAAATAAATACTAAAAGTGATTCATTGTAAAACAATGTGAGCATTATTTATGCTTTTTGCCATCTCCGGAATAAAAGCCAAAAAAGATTTTAATCTCCAAATGTTAAAATTTCACACTAGGAATTGACAATTACTTCAAAAAACTAATAATGTGTGTTGCTCAACAATGAACAGTTATTCTTATAGGCTACATAATTCAGTAATAGTTTGTTCCGTGGACCTCCATAAGCAAACATTTTTACTCATCAAGGATTCGAGGAAGGATAAAGAGAGGATATTTTTAATATCTACCACTTTATCAAAAAAATTTAAGACTACAATTTCATTCGCTTTAAAAATAGAAATAAAAACTTCTCACTGCAGTGTTTTTTTTTAAAATAACAATAGCCCCATGTTAAATTGAAACGAAGACAAACAAAATCTTGAATCCAGAATAACCATGAAGCCAATACATTTACCCTCAAATAAAATCTGTATACCTCTCAGTTTCTATTGGTGGTATCAGGAAACACGGAGTAGTTTGAAAACCTGAAAGCAGTTTAGAGAATGAAAATGCACTAAAATTGAATACTTAAAGCACATAATGATTTACTAACAAGCATGCTTAAGTAATGTTTACACGTGTGTAAAACTTGTACATATCCAGAAATGTGGTTAGGTTTAAGTGTTAGCCTCCTACATACAATTTAGCCACAAAGTTGCTTATACTGTACAATAAGAGATAAATGGAACAATTTGCATTGTAACATATTGCAACAGCAAAATGTATCATCCTCTATTCAAATCAACAGTCTTGGAGCTTTACCATATCTAAATACACCTACACAATAGACTATGGCATCTTGACTTAAAGTGTAGTAAGGTGAAAACACTAGGGAATGGTGATCACTGTGAATATACTGTGGCAGTGGGAGAATAAGAAAACTTTTATATTTTTGTGGTGCCTGGTTATGTAACATATTTTTTTTATAAACATTGTGAGTAAGACCTTGCTAAAAGCCTCATCTACTTTGCAAACTTCAATGGACCTCGTGAAAATTGTTCAGACATTTTTGGAAAATATAAGATCTGATGAAGGTCTCAAAAGCATTATCATAGACACTTGAGAACTTGCAGAAGAAATTGGTGTTTCTGTTGAATTTAAAGTTTGTCCAAGGAAAACCAAGAGGGAATAGTCTCCTATGAGAGAGAAGATTAACAGAATCAAGCTGATGGACTGGTAACATTCAAAGAGAAAATTTTTCTTTTTGGTGTTAGTTACAGCAATCAACTCACTTAAAGAGAGGTTTGAACTCATGTAGAACCACAGCTAGGGTTTTAGTTTTCTGTATGATACAAAGAATCACCAGTCATAAGACAAGAAGACTTTGAAAGACACCTGCATACAATTTCACAATGTTGTGGAGGAAAACTGTAACCAAGACATGACGTTTCAGGGGTTTTCTCAGGCATTATTGGTGAATCTACGAATTTGAATGCAAAATCTACTTAGATTAATTATCTAAAGTGTGGTTAGAAACAAGAGTTTTTACCGTAGGGCCTAATCCTCATTTTTAGACTTGGTAGAACTGTTAAACCAATCAGCAGACCGTGATGATGCTAGTGATATGTTAGGGAAACAATGTGGCATAATATAACAAAAAGTTTGAAAATATCCTACCTTAGTTTTCTGGCACTGCACAAACCATCGATTAGAAGATTGAGTGATTGTAAGAGAAGTAGTAGCAATCAACCATTTAAAAATTATAATGAATAGAATAAGTTTTATTCGCTCCATAGCAAATCCTCTAAAATTTAAGTGAAGTTGCTGAGTGTTCAAATGAGCTTGACATGCAACTAAAACAAAATTGGATGAATTCTCAGACGATACTGCTAGGCCAGACTGGAAAATGGTTAGCTACACCACTGACCTTCTTTTGATGTTCAAAATAAACATCAATCTCAAGACGGAAGTTAAAGTTAAAATTAAAGTTAAAGTGTATTTTAAGGTTATTGTTTACCTGTAAGCAACGTCTAAAGGTCTCCTTGACTGATCTTTACAATGCATTTTTCTCCAGTAAAGAATCACTCCAATAGCAAAGATTACAAGCAAAGCTCCAGCAATAACTCCAACAACTAAATCACAAAAAGAAAGTTATACAGATTAATAGATTAATTACAATTTCAAGAGTAAAAGGTAAATCATAAGCAGAATAATCAAACATCAGGTGGAATGCAGGACCTCAATAACTCAAACCTTAATACCTTGAATTCCTTTAAATCTTGGATGAATTTATCGAATTCCCTTAAAATCCTAGAATCTCATAATGATAAAAGTACAAGTCAGGGTTTCAAATATTTAACCATGATAAACGTAATTTTAACGTTTTGTAATCAATAATTTGCTTAATTAAGTTGCTTTGCTACGTTTTGCCAAGGTCATATTCATATATCTAAACATATCAGCTAAGCTCCAACTATTTGATCAAGAAAACTGTTAATACCACTATCACTGGGACTGGAACACAATGTAGTGTATTTGAGTAAAGGATGAGTGCAGAATGGAGTGAGATACTTTATACTGGCTAAGAGCAGCTGTTTCTTAAGCCAGAACGAGTCATTGAGAGACCAATGATGAAGTACAACAGGGTTCAGTTTTGAACCAGCGACCTTTAGATTATCAGCCAAGCACTATAACCACTCAGCTTTCAGTTATAGACAATCTATACTGCATACCAATTTGCAGATAAAAGTTAACAATGTCCAACCTATGATGATAGTAAAAAAAATATAAAATCAGCTGACTTAGTAGTAACCTGGGAGGACTCACTTTCAGGTCGAAACGGTTGGTAATAATGTTAGTAAAACTTTTTTTAACTAAAGTCAGCAGTTTTCACTGCCACCGTACCTCACGCACCTCTTTCTACTAACAGCCTTAATCACTTCCCGTACTCACCCATCTCCTTAGATTCAGTGTATCGTACGTTCGCGTATAGGATGGTCAATTCGACAATGCCTAAATGACGGAGTTAATACGTTACCGTTTTGTTAGACCGGGAATGAGTGACTGCAGCAGTCAAATCGCTGTTTTTAAAGAAATGGTTTAGTGTTTTATATATTTTTGAACTCTGTTTATTTGTACTTTGTAAATACTGTGTATTAAATAGGCCTAACAATAATTGTTATTTTAAAATTATTATGTTCTCCTAGTTTATATCAAATGATGAAATTTGATGCAAATCCAAAGAAAAAATTATAGTCTACTAATTGTGAGTTAAAATGGATTCTGTTGAACGTAATCGGATTAACAGACTACTTCAAAGTATAGAACGTGAAGAGAATAGTGATTGTGTAAGAAGACCCTTAGGAACTTTTTGTTGAGGACTCTTCAACAAATAAACAACGGTTTCATGATGAAGGAGACAAAACAACAATGCCGATGATGAAATTGAAGACTTAAAAGGTATTTTACGTTATTATAGACTTAGACGAACGTTCCAATAAAGATAACAGAGAAAATCTACCCGTTGAAGATGAAAATAATTAAAAAATAAGAAATTCCAGGTATTTTTTAGATTGAAATTTAGATTACTTTGAAAGTTCAAGTCTCAAGAGTAGAACTGAAGAATTTATTTTCCAGGGAATGGATTAGCCTATGTTAGTAAAGCTTTGAAAGTGCAATGGGATGTCCAACCTACAAGACAATGTTTAGGTAGAAATAGGAATATTCTGTGGATGAGAATAGGTCAGTCAAGTAATAAAACAAATTTTGAATGAATTTGCATGACTTGTGGTCAGATGATTGGTTTGGAGTTGAGTTTTTTTTCTAGCGAGTATGTCTCAATCAAGGTTTCAGTTCCTGCTTAGAACCCTTAGATTCGATAACATAAGAACACAAGATGATATAAAGGTGCATGACAAAATTGCTCCTATACTAAATTGATTTGAACAATGTGCTGAAAAGAACATAAAACTATGTTCTAAATGAGTATGTAACAGTGGACGAGATTCTAAAATCCCCTACAATACCAGCAAAGGAGGTGTGGATACAGTTGATTGTTACAAACAAAATTACTCAGTTTCTAGAATCACCAATCACTGGTCAATGTCAGTGTTTTTCGCTTTGCTGAACATAACAGCTCTGAACGACTTTATAATTTTGAAGGAAAACTGAAATCAGCCAAAAATGACTTCAAGATTATTTTTGAAGAGCCTTGGAATGGATCTATGTAGAGACATGACATCAAGGATCTCTGTTCGTGGAACACCCCGGTTTTACCAAAGAACTAATCTGCTGACTACTTGGAGTATAAATGCCACGGACCCACGTTGTACAAAAATGAAATCGCGTAATGAAATTGAATTTTTTGTACTAAACAACATTAGATTATTCCATGTTGTTTTTTTATTTGGTAATAAAATAAATCAATTTTATAGCAAAATAAAGCTGTTTTATTAGTCCCAGTCAAAAAGACCGACTGTCTTTGCGAGAGGCTTTCTGTTCGGGATGAGCTCATCCAACGTAGAACACGTCATGATGGGAGGCTTCACTTTACAAGGGTCACCTTGGAATCATTTCAACGTTGTTATGGTTTTACAGTCCTTAATATTTTAGATTTTGTTTTATATTTTACTAGAATTTTTCCACCGCACCCTGACACATTATTATCTAACATTGAAAACGGGTTTTTACTTACATTTTATATGATATTACATATTTAAGGGTTTAAGAGCTTTAAATTGATACCCAATATGCAATTAAAAATTTATATTTACGAGTCGATTTGCTGTACAAAAAATCCAACAAATTCTTTTAATAATATAGATTCCTCTAAAGACTCCTTCGCATAACCTTAAAGTTGTAGTTTTTATTTCAAAACATATATTGAAGATTTATTCCAAACTTGTTCGTATATTTAAAAAAAAATTAATTTGACGCTTAACATTGTGTTTAATCAATGTTTTGTATGAAGTAGAATAACCTCAATGGCTAATCTTAGGTAATAACCTGGAACCAATTATTGGAAAGAAAAGTTTCTCTTATTTTGGACCCACATTGTACAACAGACTACCCGAGAGCCTAAAAACCTTTAAGAATAAGTTAAAAATGTTCCTAAAAGATATAAAATTTTAGTTGTAAGTAAAGTAGTTTAATGACAAAAGTTGTTCTGAAAAACTGATACGTATTAGAGAAACGCTGGCTAATAAAGAAATTTTCATTTATTTTATTTATTTATTTAAAGGCCTTGAGTGAGTCCTTACCCTTTCAATTCAAAGTGAGTTTAGCAGGGTCAATTACCCATCAAGCAAAATGTGATTTGTTGAATTTGGTTTCAACAGTTTGAAATTTTCAAACAAATTTGGTGAAATAAATAATAAGTGTATATATACCGTATATATATATATCTCTTTGAAAACAACATTTTTATCGTGACTACAAATTACTAGTGAACAAATAGTAATAAATATTTTTGTATAGAATACAAAAAACAAATCAATTAAAATTTTAAGAAGGACTTAATTCCTTATTGTTATGAGAAAGATGTAAACGTAAGAACATTGTTTTACCATACCTAAGTATATGAAGATATTATGGTCTTGGTCGGGTTTACTGGATACCAATACGTCCTGAAAATAAAGAAACAATTAAATAAAAACATTATGCTACTAATACTAATTGTAGAAATTAAACATTAATTAGACCAATTCGTATATACCAAGGAAAAATGTGGTTCGGATTCCACTATAAACTGTAGGTCCCTTAGTTGCCATTAGCTGTATGGGCTATTAATTAACAGCTGTGTCTAAGGAATGTCGGCCTTAGTCACTAACAAGACAACAAGATCGCGCCACTCATCCTACACTCATCTCCATTCATACTTGGCTTAAAATACCTACTATGTATGGTCGCCATTTCATTGAACAGTATTAATAGTATTGTTTATCCTATTGTCTTTACAACCTGAAGCTGTCAAGATGGCAAATAGTTAAAATAATCGGTACTTTGGTATTATCTGGAGGCCACTACAGATGTTATGTTAGGTTGGGTTTTAATAAATATGTTTGTAGGACCTTCCTCGTTTCGTTATGAATCAAATAATGAACAAAAAAAAAAGAGAAAAAAAATTGAAAAAAATCAAATTATACCATATGAGTCATACTTTCGCCTGCCAAATCCTCCAAGTAGACCAAGGTCAGGTCGTTGACCGGAGCTCGCGCATCACATGTATATGGGTCCGTATCCTTAGTAATGACTAAACTGGTATCGATCGATTCACAAAACAAGGAAAGTCCTACAAACCTATTTATGATAACTAAACCTAACATAACTGCCGCAGCGTGATCTACACCTACTTGGCGGAGTACAGGTAAGGAAACATTTATACATGAACATTTATTGCATGATTGCAAATTATTGTCTTAAGAAAATATACAAAAAAAAACAGTAATAGCCAATACAAAAGTATAGCCTATTTCAAACTAACCTTCAAGAAAGAAATGCTTCCATTGGGTTTAAGTGTTGGTAACGGTAGTCCCAGGATGTGAGCTGCAAGGGGGTATATGTTGATGTTCTCAAATGGTTGAACAGAGAAATTCTTCTTGAATTCAGGTCCAACTGCCATGAAAAAAGCTCTCATTGAAGGAACCAATGGGTCATAACCATGATTGCCAATCTCAGGAGATTTTACTAGAAATTAACATCTTATTACATCAAAGGGAAAATGTGGACGATTTAAGTGTTACTTTAAAACAAAATTACATAATAACGAAAACACGAATACCAACTAAGATAGTAGTGGTCTAAACCAAAATAAAGTCAACCTACATCAGCACAGAGAAAGATATGGGGTGTGCGACTAAAATGTAATACTGTATATTTATCTGTCTTGTGATTACGCAACCAAATAACGTAACAAAATCCATGAAGAGGTAGCATATCTATCTTAAGCTCTTTTTACTCTGCAGCAAACCGCGCCCCGCTGCGTCTGATGGCAGACGCTAGTTTTTTGCGGTAGCTCTGGCAGTGATGAGTATAGGGCTGCCTACTTTAGCAATTCTCTCACCATTAGAAGTAACTGTGTAGTGAGTGTGAGATAACACGTGCTTTAAATCCAGGTATGACAAATATGAGTTTAAATCTAAAGGTGGTAGTAAAAGACACTGATCTTTTCACCCCATAAATTTAGCAAGATCTAATGATGCCACATTCAGAAACTTCTTTAAAATTAAGAGTGACAACAATGACAAGTTCTAAAACTACGTTCCTTACGTCAATTACTTTGTTTGGTGTACTTTTCTTCAGTTTGAGAGCAAACATTCATTGATTCTGCATTACTTTGAGGAATCAACTTCTTCGCAGAGGAGATATATTATCATAAAAGAAAATATTTATTTATCATAAAATTATATTATCATAAAAGAAAATATTTATTTATCATAAAATTATATTATCATAAAAGAAAATATTTTCAAACAGGTCATAAAATGACCTGTTTGAATCTTATCTGACAAAACGATTCCAAAGAGTTAAAATGTTCGATGATGACAGAATTGCTCACTTCTCAACTTGGAGGGAGGTTGTCTGTGGGGTGCCGCAGGGATCTATTTTAGGGCCAGTATTGCTTCTGTTGTACATTAATGATTTGCCAATCAACATTAATACTCCACTTTACCTTTTTGCAGACGACACTACAGCAATAATTATGGGTCAAAACAAACAAATAACAAAAGTAAAGCTTTTAAATACTCTCCAAGAAATATCTGACTGGCTATCCAAAAACTGTCTTAGTTTGAATTGCTCCAAAACAAAAATCTTAGCTTTCACTTCTAACAATAGAAACAAACAAATAAATGAGGAATTCCTCATGCCAAATGAAGAACTTTGTGAAAATTCCCTTAGTGTGAACTTTCTAGGTTTTACACTTCAGGACAACTTAAAATGGCATGATCAAATTCTGGCCATACAAAAAAAACTTAATAAATCTCTTCATGCTATTAGAACTATTGCCAACATCTCAGATATCGATGGTTATATGCACAAACATTGTATGTCCAATTTTTTTCACTTTTGACATTTTTATATATTTGGAAAGCTGTAGTCTTCATCTTTCAGATCACACATATTGTATGTCCATATTACAATAGGAAAAATTAATATAAATTCTCAAAATAAAAGTGTTCACTTTGGTATGATGTAATTTTATCCTGCACACTTGTAGCATGTCCAATGATTGCAGTACCAGCTGAACAGAGAAAAACTCCTTTAGAGCACAGATATAGTATCTTTGGACTTGCAATGATTGTGCATGAAAATACAAGGCCTACTATCTCTGGTATTTGTTTTTCATCTTGTAGTATGTCCAAAAATCTGATGATCTCAAGTGCACTCTTATAGTATGTCCACATTTTATTTTACAATTAGGTTAGGTTTAGGACATACAGCATCTGTGCACAACAGAACATAACACCAAAAAAGAATCCGTGAATTGGCTAAAGGTAAAGTGGTTTGGGTTTTAAAAAGCAAACCCCTTTGAAATTCTATACAAGTACGAACTTAACAAGGAAATAGAGTTTTTGACTCTTGATGTACGAATGGATTCCGAGACGCCATTTGTCTGGGAACAACAACTTCTCAGTCCAAAGTACACCGAGCCTATTCCGGTTTCCAGCGCCAAGAAAAAGGATTTGATGTACCTACTTAAAGCGGGTGTAATCCCAGAAGCATTCACGCATTTTGTCACTGAAATCCCTAGTTCCGCATCGGCAAGAGATATTGTACTTTACGTCATAGAGGAAGAAGAAGGAAACAAGTCTCTCACTGAAGTTACCAAAAAGAAAGAAGGAAGGCGCAGTAGAAGAGATGTTATAGGGCAAGAAACCAGAAAAAGAAGTAATGTAAAGAGAGTTTAAGAAAACCAAGGAGGCTAAAAAAAACCAGAGAAAATAAAAGAAATTAAAACTTCATAAGAAAATAAAGTAATGTGTCTAAAGGACAGCACTGTTGAATAAACCCCATAAAGACTGACTCAACAAAATACAGTTTGTACTGTAGGTACCATTTTACAAAAGGCACTACCTGATTTATTTCGTGCTTAGTTTAATGTTTCGTTTAGGCCTATTTGTGTTTAAGTTTCTAATAGCTGGTAGGCCAAGTAATTTTTATTTTTAAAATGTTAAAAATAAAAGTAGTCTACAATGTAAGACAATAACAGTCATGGGCGTCCGCAGAATTTGGAACAAGGGGGTGCAATATATAGGTCTAACGAACCTCCAGGGGTTCGGGGCCTTCCCCGGGAAAAAATCTGAAAATATAGTGTTTTAAAACATATTTTTACGCTACTTTGTAATACATAAAACCAACCAAAACAAAATAGTACATTGTGCATCAAGGACGGTCACCTGAGGGAGTCGTCGTTTTTTATGCCAACATTAACAACCAACCAAACAATTATAAAGAAAAAAAATTATAGTTGAATAAAGCCTAGATAACAGCCAAGAAAGTTTATGTTTTGTTTTCTGAATAGTTTTGTTAAGGTATGAAAGTATACAAAGTATAAAAATTTTTACATCTGTAAGTCAACTACTTATTTGATTTAAACATCAATTTAAAACATTTTTTAGACATGACCATTTTGAACATACTTTTATAAATTCCTTAAAACCCAAGTGATCACAGAACATTATGTGTATTAAATTTATTTCTAATTTTTTTAGCCAGGGGGCGCCCATGATAACAGTTTTTTAAATTTTTCATTCCTTACTAAAACCATCTAGGGGCAGTTTTTGTATTGCACACTCGTAGCATGTCCATAAATCTGCGCGTACAGAAGTGCACACATATAGTATGTCCAACATGGTTTGATTTACAAATTATTTGTAAAAATGTGGCTTGAATAAAGATAAAACTATTTATGTAGATGTATTTTTAATAAATGGGGCCAATAAAATTTATTTATTTCAAACATTTAACAGTTTTAGTTTAAGTTTCCCCCATAATACAAACTTTGTTTTTGCGGTTTCCGAAAGTTTACCAAAATGGACATACAACTATTGTGCTTATAACCATCGATATAAAGACATGTCTTCATGTTTATCATGGTTATTTTTTATCAATTGTTAGGTACAGCATCATCCTTTGGGGTGGGACATCAGTAATTGTCAAGATATTCAAGTTACAAAAAGAGGCCATTCGAGCAATGTTTAAACTAAAATTTAGAAAATCATGTAAACAATATTTCAAAAATTCTAAACTATTAACTGTACCAGCTCTTTATATTTTTGAAGTTCTGAAATTCTTTAAAAAACATCAACAATATTTTTCAAATAACAGTCTGGAGACTCAGGGTACAAGAAACACAGACACTCTGCGGTACCCTAAACATAGATTGTCTCTTTTGGAGAAGGGTCCATATTACATGGCAATTAAACTGTTTAATCACCTTCCACCAGAGATAAAAAAAGAAAAAAAAACTAACACATTTTAAAAAAAACTGGAAACTCATCTAGCTGCAACATGTCCTTATAAAGTGGACGATTTTTTTTTTTTAATGAGCACATCTGTCTGAGTCAGGGGTGTTGTACTGTATATATTCTCATTTTTGTTAGACTGTATCTTATCCATTGTATTTGATTTTTTAATAATTAATTGTAATAATTGTAATTGTAATTAATTGTAATAATTAATTTACACTCTAGCATAATTGACATGCCATCTGTTACATGAGCTATGCTCAAATTTGTAATGTTTTTTATGGCAAATAAAGAGTTTGAGTTTGAAACAGTTGACTGCGCCATTGCAGGGAAACCCAGAGTATAAAAGCTTCCCATGAACACTGTCTATGTACTTTGAGGCCGAACATTTCTGCAGGTTGTAGGTTTGCCATCGTGCGTCTTTAAATCTAGCCCACGTCAGCGACCTGCGCCGCATAGTATAAAAGCTCTCATATAACTAAATGCCTTTAACAAGCCACTAAGTATAAAAGAAGCCTTACAGTTACACAACTAATAGATCTAGCTACCAACTGGGGTATTGGTGGTCTGGATCCAGGAACAGGTAGCCTAAATCAGCACACAGCAAGATAGGGGGTGAGCGATTGCAGTGCTTGTATCTCCATCTATCCAACATCTCTGCTTTTGTGTATGCAGTGAAGTTAGCCCCTCTGCTTTGGGCATCCTTCAATGTTGACAATACTTCCTCTTCTTTTCCTGCAATGTATTTGTCTGACTAAGCATTATTTTTATATAGTATTTTAATGACGTCTTTAGTGGACTTGACAAGTTAATATGATAAAAGGGCTAATTTGTCCAGTGTAGGATTACGTACCTGAAATATAAACTTATATGGATGATTGTAAGTAACATCAAGCATTATGAAAATTGTAAAAACAATGTCACAGCTTGTTGCACTAGGCCTGAGGAAACAGGTTACAATGATTTGAACAAACAGTAAAAATATCATAGAACCATAAATATATTGTTTTAAAGTAACAATGATTTTTTTAAAGACTGTTTATCCTTTAAAATCACAATTTGTGCAAAAAAATATTTTACACAAACTGAACAAAATATTTGAACACAAGAGATAACACTACGAGACGGACTACTATGAACCTGTTCATAAAGAAACACCTGTTTAGTTGTAGCTACAATCGGCAAGAGTTATCAGCAGATTAGTTTACTTAAAAACTTAATAAAGTGAAACTATTATATGAAATGACATAAAGAAGGAATTATTATAATTTCAAGCATTTTTAAGCCAGCAGAAATTCAATCAAATCATATAAATATACGTAATCAATAATAAATATTCTCAAATGCCATTGCCTAAGGCAGGGGTGCCCAATCGTATCGAGGAATGACGCAGAGTGCGTTGTACCCATGATTCACAAGAAAGGCGACACTTCATGTCCATCAAATTACAGACCGATTATGCTTGTTCCGGTATTTGCTAAGGTTATTGAGAGTTGTATTTATAACCAAATAAGTGCCTTTTTTAGTAATCATAATTTTCTAAGTAACTCCCAGTTTGGCTTCAGAGCCGGTTTATCAACTATCGATGCTTGTAAGTCAGTTGTTGATGCCATTCTGAATGCTTTTGAATCACATGCCTTTTTAGAGTTAACTTTAGTACAGTAGTTTTAAGTAAAGTATTTGATTGTGTTTCTCATAGCCTGTTGATTGACAAGTAAAGTTACTATGGTGTAAAAGATGAAACTTTAGATTTATTTAAATCATATTTAGGAAATAGATATCAGATGGTATCAGCCAACAATAAAACCTCTCAGAGGAAAGAAGTTCTTAATTTATATAAATGATCTTGATGGCAACATTAATACAAACCTCATTTTATATGCAGATGACACCACTGCCCTGCTTAAGGCTCAAAGTGTACATGAGCTTAAAATACTTACTATCAATGCTATGGAGGAACTTCAAGTATGGTTTCGTACTAATGGACTAAAACTAAATTGTGAAAAAACAAATCTGATGAAATTTCAAACAGCACAAAGTAATGACTCTACAAAATTTGCAGTTAAGTTTTTAAATACTGAAATTACATCTAAAATACAGAACATTTTTTTGGGATTAACAACTGACCAAAATTTAAACTGGAAAAAATACATAACAATACTCGGTAATAAACTGAATTCTGCTTGTTTCCAAATGCTTGTGTTAAGGGATAGAACTGACAATGTCACCAGTTTAACACATTCGCTGCGGATGACGCACTTGTGAGTCATCCGTGCGCCACCCTATACGACGCGCCTTGCGGATGACGCACAAGTGCGTTTCGCGCCATTTTGTAATTTGCCGCCATTTCGTGCGCTTTATACTTTTGTTTTTGTTTTGACTTGTGTATTACTCCAGTTTCCAGTTACGCACTTGACTTTTGTTGCAGTCCGTTTTTGTTTATGTCTATTGGTTAGTGAACCACGTGCACGCAAACATGGACTATTCGGAAGAGTTGGTTGACGATCCGGGTGTGCCCTCCCCTTGTAGTTCCCGCGATGTGACTGTTAGCTCTAAAATGACAGTTAGTGAAATTGACCTCTTTAGTGACCAAACAGACAGTAGTGAGGAATACACGAGTGACGAAGAGTACCAGCCTAGTGACGACGGCAGTGAATCAAGTATCGGTGAGTCATTAGTAGACGAATTGGAAGACAATTTTGATTACTATGATTACGATTTAGCTTGGGATGAGGACCCAAACTCCATGAAAACATTTATTTTTTCATCTCCAGTAGGCTTAAGAGTTCCAATCCCTGGGGAAAATAAACCAGCGGACTTTTTTCAGTTGTTATTTGATGATGTTCTGCTTGAGTCGATCGTTAAAGAAACTAACAGTTATGCCGAAGAATTGTTTCTATCCAAAGATCACTCTGAGAAATCACGCATAAGTTCATGGAAAAATTTAACTTTGAATGAATTTAAAGTTTTTCTCGGACTCCTATTGCACATGGGTCACATCAAGTTGCCTAAGATCCAGGATTACTGGAAGAAAGACAAACTTTTCAAAACCTGTTTTGGTGAGTACATGGCACGAGATCGCTTCCTTTTGATATTACGTTGTCTGCATTTTGTAAGAGCAGACGCAACAAGCACTGACCGTTTGCATAAGATTAGGTCAATTGTTGATTATTTCAATAACAAAATTATTAACATTTATAATGCTGGGAAGGAGCTGTCACTGGACGAAGCAATGGTCCTATGGAGAGGTCGGCTAGCCTTTAAACAATACATCAAGGGCAAACGCCATAAATATGGCATAAAACTCTACGTTTTGACTGAACCTAACGGGCTGATTCTAAAGTTTGCAGTCTATGCTGGAGCCTTAGATCAACTGGCTGGTGAAGGACATGCTAGTAAGGTAGTAATGTACTTGATGCGTGAAAAGCTGGGAAGAGCCCATTCAATCTATATGGATAATTTTTACAATAGTATAGAATTGGCTACCGAGCTTCTTGAGGAAAAAACATACACCACTGGTACTCTTCGAGCTGATCGCAAGAAAAACCCTAAAACGGTTGTAAATGCCAAAGTAAAGAAAGGAGAATCAGTTGAGAAGTACTATAAGGGTGTAATGTGTGGTAAATGGAGAGATAAGAGAACTGTTCTGTATCTCTCAACTCAGTATTATAATGAGATGGGTACAGCAACTAACAAAAGGGGTCAGGAGAAACTAAAACCCTACCCTATTATAAAATATAATGAATATATGAAAGGTGTAGATCGTCAAGATCAATTTTTAAGCTATTATCCATGCGAAAGAAAAACCCTTAGATGGTACAAGAAGTTGTTCGTCCACATTCTTCAGATGTCGGTACTGAACGCCTTTTTCCTGTTCAACAAACATACCTTCGGTAAGAAGCTGCCGCTGTTGGAATTCCGCTTAGAAGTAATTAGACACCTGTTATCACCAGTGGACATCCAGAACCAACGACCGAGAAAAGTGGCGACAGACCATCTGCCAACGAAAAACCCAGTGGGGCGGAACAACAAGACATTGCGGCGGCGATGTGTCATCTGCTACACCAAAGGTATACGCAAAGACTCAGTGTACCAGTGTGAGGGTTGTGCTGAAAAACCAGCTTTGTGCCTCGGCGACTGTTTCAAGGAATATCATGGCTAAACATGACCTGACCACAGGGAGTTCTTCAGATTCAAACAAGAGACTTGATGGATTGGATGGAGATTCAAGATGGACTTGTATATAATATTGTATTTTTTGGTCATAAATATGTTATAAATTGTGTGAAATAAATTTTGTATTTAATAAATAATACAATGTCTTACTATTACTAAACAAACACATACAAAACAGCTGAACGCACATGTGCGTCATTCGCATTTTGGCTGTTATTTGATGTAATGTGCTAATGACGCACATGTGCGTCATTAATTTTTTTTTTTTTTTTTAAATTGCAAAAATTACTTTTTTTATACTTTTAACTATAAATGAACTTATAAAAATGTATTAATAAGTTATTTACGAAAAATAATTTTTAGCACCCCACATACAGCCATTATTATAGTATAATATTATTAGCAGCGAACGTGTTAATAGCTTTGCTATGTACAAATGTTTTTATGTGACAATAAAGTGAATTTGATTTGATTTGATTTGTCATAGCAGGAGTACCCCAGGGTTCTGTACTTGGTCCTTTTTTGTTTTTAATTGCAATAAATGATCTTCCATCTAATCTCCCTTCAAAATCAGTACTGTATGCAGATGACACTTCCTTAATAGTCTCAAGCAAATCTTTGCAAGAGGTAAAAATTAAAACTGAGTTAAGAGATGAAAATAGCAGCCGATAGTTGGTTTAAGGCAAATAAATTTTCAGTAAACAATGATAAAACTGTTTCTATAATTTTTTCACAGACAAATCTTGTATCTGAAGTATCAAATGCTAAACTGCTAGGAATCATATTAGACTGTAAGTTATCTTGGTGTAGTCATAATGAAATGGTTGATGCAAGGTTATCTTGGTGTAGTCATACTGAAATGGTTGATGCAAGGTTAAGTAACTCTTCGTTTCTGCTCAGGAGGTTGAAAAATCATGTTAGTTTAAGTATGTTAATTAATGTTTATTATGCATTCTTTCATTGTCACTTAGTTTATTAGGTAATTTTGTGGGGCAGTAGTAGCGGGGCAGTTAACGTTTTTAAAAAAACAGAAAAAAGCAATCAGCATCCTAGCTGGTATAAAAAGTAGAGTTAGTTGTAAGACCTTTTTCCCTGAATACAAAATTCTCACTTTACCAAGTGTGTACATTTTGCAGAATATAATTTTTGTAAAAACAAATATTGAACAATTCTCATCTTGCTCATTAACTCACAATCATTACACCAGACTGAGGAATAATTTAGAGTTACCATCATTAAGACTGGCCTCAACACAGCGCAGCTATAAATATTTACAACTCAAATTTTTCAATGCCCTCCCTGAAAATGTACGCAACTTGCCTATTAAGCCATTTAAAAATGTATTGACCGATTTTTTGAACAGAAAGGTTATCTACTCTATCGAGGAATTTTTATCTTTCAAACATGATGGTTTTCTGTAAAATTCTAGTTGTTAAGAAGGATATTGTTTCTAAAGTATGTAACAATGTTTTCATTAACTGTGATATAATAGTCTTTCATATTAACTAGAGGACCCATGCTGCTCCGCAGCGTTAAAATAAATATAATATCTGATAAATAATCAAACTTATGATTTTTTATTGAGTAAAACAGTATCTTGAGCTTAACTGATCTAAACGATTAATAGCTAAAATAAAAGCCTATAATTTACTGATTATTTTGAGTCTAAAACATATATTGATTTGTAATTATAGAAAATCCGCACGAAAAAAATTTATGTTGGTTGTTCGCCTTGCGTCTGCTTGAAACCCGTCCGATCTTAATAACTAATAGATTAAAAGAAAGCCGGTATATTACTGAAGGTTCTTAGACCGAAATATAATAGGATTATATAATCATAACTGTTGAAATACATCTTAAATTAAAGTAATCTTAAATTCAAAAATGATTCAAACTATGTCGATGTTTGATGTGAATTATTTACGTGCATACCTTCAATTTGAGACCTCAATCATGAAAATCGGTCGGGTAGAAGAGCTAAACGAACTCGGCAAAGAGAAACCAAATTTAACTCCCATAAGAAATACATGGAGAGCAAATTTTGTTTACGTATATGCCGAGTGGGATTATAGATACATTTACGCCGATGCTTGATGGCAAATCTGTGTGTGCATACCTTCAATTTGAGACCTCAATCATGAACATCGGTCGGGTAGAAGAGCCAAACGAACTCGGCAAAGAAAACCCAAATTTAACTCCCATAAGAAATACATGGGGAGCATTATAATGTAAATTTATACATTTTTTATAAATTTACAACAACTAATTGCCGTATAAATTAAATATGTATTATTTAATGGTATACACATTAATATGTATTAATAGAAGAAATACATTGCGCTAGGGGGCCTGGGGGCAGAGCACCCAGCGAGCCAAAGGCGAGTTTATTATGATAAACTGTTTTCAAAATAAATATTTCAGTTGTAACGTAAATAAATTTTTTTTGTAATATACAGTACTGTACTGTATTGTGTAAATTAAATAGGCCTATCTGTTTAGATATTGTGTTTCTTCATGGCCATAAGTAAACATAGTGGGTGATTATTTGACATGTTAGTGTTAAAAAAGTATAAAAGTGTTATTTTAATTATTTTTCTATATTCTGGATTTTCCGGATCACTTCCAGTCCCAATAAATCTGGATAAACAAGGTTGTATTGTACACAAATTTTTGTATGTTTAACATTCCTAATAGGAGAGGTAGAAGGTACTCGACCGCACAATTTTATTTGTGGCTAGCAGAACATTGCTGTTCTTCACTTCTTGCATAGTTCAGAATAGTTACCAAGACTATTGAGAGAAAGATGAAAAAGATTCTGATCCCTTTTGCTCAACCAATGTTTCGGATTACTAGCTTTTGAGCTGCTACTATTACGTTATGTAAATGACAGACAGTAAAGGTGTTTTATTGAACAGTTTAAATTGTAACGTTTCTGATAACAGTTTTTTTCTATTTCTGTAGAGCTATAAAAACCCTGATGAGCGAATTATTGAAGTGTCCAATTATAGGTAGGTACTCCAGATTACCTACATGACTTTACAAATAGCTATCTGCTGCTATGATAAGTCTTTTTTAAGAACGGTAAATAATTTTACATACAAATCTTTAATGTGCTTTGAAAATGCCAGAAAGTAGATGCAAAGCAAATTTTTAATGCGCACCACCCCGAAAGCAAAGAGCTGTTCAACTTCTCGTCGTCAAGTGCCTGCAGGACCTTGCTGCTCGGAAATGTACCACTACAATGCGCAAACTGATTTTGCTGCTGCCGAATTCCCAATTAATTTGGATAATCAGAATCTTGCTGTGTTACATAATTAAAAAGGAGCTACATAATTTAGGTTACCTGGCACTGGAAAGATCTGTAGGTTTGGGGCCACGCCACCACGGATATACAAGTTCCTATTGATGTAAGTGTCCAAGTTAATGTTGTGGCTTGGTACTGGGACAGCCTGGCCGCCATGATCACTCACGAACACAATGTTTAACCGATGCAATAAATCCACCTGAAACAAAAATTAAATGCCCAACAAAAGAAAATACAACAAAAAGTTATTTTTACTAAACATCGTCTATGAACTAAGGTTTTTTTCCAAATAATAATTCCTTTAAGCTTGGTTTCACTTTAAAGTGGTAGGCCTATAATCATCGAAAAGATAAAACAAATATAGACCGTTTGCTGTGCTGTGGTTAGCATAAGTTCTGGCGTCCACCGCTAGGATTGCTGTGTAGTTACGGAGCACACCACTGCAGCGTCTGCTGGTAGCATACGGCAAGGAGCTGACGACGGTAGCAAATCGAACACCGAGCGGCATATCGCGGAACCTTCCTTTGACAGTCGATATTTTCTGTTTGTCTATGCTAAAACTTGAGAATCGTTTTATCTAAAATATTCAAATTAAATTATTGTCTTGAATTAAAAGAATTGATGATTCTTCAAATCAAATGGAGTTTGTGAAAAGAAAACAAATCTACTAGTAACTTAATTAATTGCTGCAAAGTCAATATAACTTATCATATATTACAAATTTGCATATAGTAGGTACTATTGGTAATTCAAACACTTGATAAATCAAAACTTTCAATCATTCAAAATTAAAGCTTAGTCCGTAAGAATATCTTAATATTTTAAAGTTTTGCCATGCACAATGATACACTCAATATTTCAAAGTCCAAGCAGAGGGCAGGCCAATTTTGAACATGCAGTAATTCTATGGTTCATCGGCAAAACACTCTATAATTCGAAGGGTGGGATTCCTCCTTGTTATAACAGGAAACTATAGCCTACATCCTGTTAGCACAGTAGTTTGTCTTAAGAATGTCATTGATGACACAAAATCCAATAGCAAAAAGCAAACAAAAAATAACAGATTTGTTGTATTTTGTAAATAATTAAAAATAAGCCGTTGTTTATTGGAAAGTAACTAAAATAAGCTGCTTAATTGATGCCTTACATAATACGGTGATAATACAGTATTTAGAAAATTAACTCTTTGTAGGCTAATTAAAATGTGTTTTTTTTTCAATCAATAAATCAAACTCTTGATGAATCAAAACTCTAAATAATTCAAATTATTTGCATGGCCAACCAATTTTGAATTATCAAGAGTCCACTGAACGTCTTAGATGTTAAAATACTGATAAAACTCATAATCACCTCTACAGCTTTGTCCAGTAAATATTGCACTATTTTGTCCACCCGAGCAATCTGACGATCAACCTCGGGTGAATCGGGGCCGTAGCTGTGACAAGTGAGATCTGGCTGCTCAAAGTACATTACACCGAGATTGATGGGTGTCTCTGGATGAGTGAACCAGCTGATGAGAGTGTCTACTCGTGACTCCCAGCTGGTTGACACATTGTATGTGAAATAGTGGGAAGGCAAGGTATGTTGATAAGGTAGATCACAGCCCGGCCACATAACACAACCACTACGCCGACCTCCACCACCACGCTCATTCAGAATCTGATGAAACCAAAATGATCATAGAATAGGTAGCCTAGATAGGTATTTTAAAATACAAACGAAATAACCACTAACTACTTACAGTGAGTGATCTAATAATACAATTCAAGCAAACTTTCAGGTTTGGTTAACTTTGCACAAAAGAAATGTGGAAAAAAGTGATGAAATTGTAAAACACAATTTAGTATTATTCATAGTAACAAAGCTGAAAATATAATTTTTGTAACTAAATTTGTTTTAAACTTTGAGAACAAGGTTTGAGATATTTATTTTTTACTTTTGCATTAATAAGGATTACATCAAACAGACTGAATATGCTTTTCCTCCAAGGTTTTTAATAATAACAAGTATGCTTGCCACATGACTAGGCACACAAAGAATTTGGAGCATCAAAATTTAATTAAATAAAGGTAGAAATGAGTCATAACTAATAGGCATACAGCCTACACATAACTCTTTGCGTATTGGATTGTTACTAATCAATCCTGTATTATCAACAGTTATGATATCAAATTGTATCAGGGGCACCATTTTTGAAATGTTTGACTGTTGAGTTGAGTGTTGAGTCACTCTCTTTCCAATCGTTTCGTTGATTGATTGACTCAACCCTCAACCATTTCAAAAATATTGCTCCAGGTAAGGATCAATGTTTTTATAATCTAGAGACCTACCTAACCTAAGAATAGAATTGATTTTAAACCCACCAGATGGGACTAGCGTCTCAAGGGGCTTGTCAAAAACCGATGAGAACCTCTTCTGCGAAGGAGTGGGTGAATGTCGGAGAGCCCCTCACGTCGATTCAAGAAAAATTATAAAATTAGTTTTGAAATTTTTAAATATAAAATTAAACTGTAATAACCTAACCTTACCAACCAAACTTGCTGATTACGGTATATAAAAAAGATATAAGATAAAAATCAAAAGAAGGTTTACTAATAAAAAATTCTCAAATTCTAACGAAAGATGTTTAGTTAAGAAGTAATCACAATTTATCCAAAATCAATGACAATATTTTAATACTTTTCATTGAAATGGCGACCATACACGTAGATATTTTAAGCCAAGAGAATGGAGATGAGTGTAGGATGAGTGGCGTGGTCTTGTTAGTGACTAAGGCCGACATATTCCTTAGTCACAGCTGTTAATTAAATAGGGGGGGGCTACAGATTATGGTGGAATCCGAAACGCATTTTGCCTTGGTATTAACAAATTGGTCTAATTATCAGTATAGCACTGCGGATTTTACTCACTAGTGCCAACGTTAATCCACACCAGGGAATATCACATCCACAGTGCATGCCTATAAATATCCACAATTCATGACCTCCAAGTAGCTGGATTACAGGACGTCGCCGCTGTCCCAGCCATCAAAAAGTTAGTGTCATCGCTGGGGTTCGATCCGGTGACCTCATGGACATCAGCCGAGTACTCTATTCACTACTCCACGAACACCGATGACTGCACTCCGTATCGTTGCGGTAATGGTGATCCCTCAAGAGAAGAAAGTGATGTCACACCACCCACTCCTTTGCAAAAGGTTCTCATCGGTTTCTGACCAGGACCCCGAGACACAAGTCCAGATGGTTATTTTTCTTCAAGAGAGTAAGGTAATAAGATAAGATAAACATCAACAATGTTGCTAAAATTTTAGGCCATGCAAGATTACAATAATTCAAACAACATTAATCTCAAACTGGAAGAAGGTAAGTTAACTAAACTTTATGGCCTATGGTGCAAATTAATATTTTACTCCCAAACAAGTAGCCTACCTATATAATAGGCCTAGTTGATACAATTTGTTTTGCTAGAATCCAACAAGAAAATTAATTTATAAGTTACCGTAATCATTATGTTAAAAGCCTAACTTGATCTTTTGATTTTAAAGAAAATGGGGAAATTTGTATAAGACAGATTAGTATGGTGGACAATCAACTGTAAGAAGTATAGCTTAGAAAAAGTTATCTAACTTTAAATAGAGCTATAATTCAATGCAGAGATGTTGATTGAAGTACAGTAGGTAAGCAATATGCCCATGAGATGGAAAGTAAATGAGGCCCTAGGACTTGTCAGATAGCTTAACTAAGACTAGCTTTTAATCTGTAGGGAAACGCTTTAGACCTAAGTGACAAGACCTCAGTCTTATAATGATAAATAAGCATAATATGGGTATATTATGCTATTGCTTGTCAGAGTACCAATATTTATAAGCCTCATTAGAAGGTACTGTTGTGGTATTTTATCTTCAAAGGAGTAAACCAGTCAGTGGCCTGATCCAGATGCTAATTTTGGTGCAATCCAAGATGCTGATCCGAAAACTGATTTAATGCCATCCAACGTTTCGTCTTAACTTAATATCTTAAACTGATTGGGGAAGTCAGAAGAGGTTCAGTAGTAGCTCAAATAAGTGAAAATGTTGTCATATTTTCAAATGCTTAACTATAAAAAAATATGGGTACACTTCCATATCCGTTGGCACAAACAACCGAATGAAAATATTGATCGATATATCGTTTGGTTAGTATGGTAAGGTTAACCTAACCAAACGATATATTGAAATAAACAATCGAATAATCAAAATTACTCATTCGGTTGTTTGTGCCAACAGATATGGAAGTGTACCCAAAAATATAAATCAAAACCAACAGTGCTTGTAACTTATAATATTACAAACCTATTATATAAAAATAAAGATGATGTAACATAGGTATTACACATGAAATCTACATGTTTTCATGACTTATTCCATGTGTGTTTATTTAACCTACCCAAATTGGAACAACATCTTCATTGTAGTGAAATAACTCAGGTCCATAACCTAAGGATTTGTTGGTTGAAACATCATAAATTTTATTATCCAGAACCCCGTGCACTTCAGTATAGAGTCCAGTTGCAATGGAAAAGTGATTTGGGAATGTCTTTGAGGGGAAAACGCTTAGCATGTAAGGAGAGTGTGAGCTATTCGTTTTTAAATTTAGTAGATTTTCTGTAAGGTTCCTATTAAAATAATCGTACCTAAACCCATCAAAAGAAACTAGTAATAGCAAGGTGTTGTTGTTTGATGGCAAAGCCAAACCAAGAGAAAATATTAAAAGAGTCAATAACAAGTAAACTGTTGATAGATCCATGAGGCGTTTGGTACTAGAAAGGCACTTATTATTTGGCTAATTTTCAAACTACACACTAAGCAAATTTGATTTGAAAAGTCTAACATGCTATGAAAAACGTTATGTAATGGTCGATTGCTACTTAAGCCTATTTGTTACACCAAACCAAACCAAACTGTAAACTAGACTTTGGACACCTTCCAAATGTTTGAGGTTAAATCTAGATGTCAAACACCGACCCGACAGTCGACACGCAGACGCCCAAGTTTTATGTCGTCTGCTAGGAGTTTTTTCCATCTTGTTTTCTAGGCGGTATTATTTTATATGCAGCTTCGGTGTGCACTACGAGAAATTATTGTATCCCTAGAATCGAAATGTCCAAGTAAATGCAATGATTTAACTGGAGGTAAGTATTCCTAAAATGGCTCGTTACGTGATGATCCGTACTACCAAATTTGCTTAAATAAAAAATGTATGTATTTGAGTCACATATTTATTGTATTGAATCACATTGAATACCTAGCCTACTGTATAAGAAAATCACATACCGTACCATGAACCAAAGTATAGGATCCTTATTATATTTGTTTAGTACTTATTTCAACACTTTCTGGGCTATGAACGATATCCGTCAAGAACGGGTCGCCGGATTTCTACCCCCGGATATTTACCCCCATGAAAAACGCCTACGTCATTTTGACGTCACGAGGGGCGGGGCTTATACACGTTCGAGAAACAGTCCGCGACTGGAAATCTACCCCCGGACATCTACCCCCGGACATCTACCCCCAGACATCTACCCCCGGACATCTACCCCCGGAAATCTACCCCCAGTGGTCAGCTCTGCCACGTATCGGCCAATATTCATTGTTGTAATTGATTTTATTAATTATTTTATGTAAATCAACGTCTCTTCGGTTAATCATTACCCTCTAATATCTAGTATTAAGCATGTGATATGTCATTGCCTTGTTTAACATTATCTATCTTCCTAATAAAATAAGTTGTAACAGCCCTTTTTCACCCGAACTACTTCACTGATATTTATGATTAAGGTCTAATTTTAAATCTTAAGATCCAGCTCAACGCAAAATGGTATTTAAAACCATATGTTGATAAAGGGCTTCAAAAGTGTGACCCCTAAGCATTTGATTCATTTCCAGACAGTGATTTAAATGGTTGACAAACTTTCACATACAGTAACAGCTAACGGCGCATGCACGAGCGCGGATCGGAAGTGTTTATCACAAAAGATTGACCAATACGATTTTAATACTATTTAAAGGTTCTTCCAAAAGAAGAGAAACCGGTTAACATTGTAATAATAACTCTTATGACGTACGGTATGGGAAATATTTTATTCATTGAATGATCAACCATATTTTGTAACTAACGCAATAGTCATTATTGCTTTTACACTTATTACTCATCAAAAAAGCTAAAGAGCTAAATGCTCAAAATTTGTATTACTTCAATCTATTTATCGCAGTTATATGAATTAGCATAAGCCTTGAAAGTAACCGTCAGTATCGACGGGTTTAACCTAATTATGTTCTGTATACTACCTTAAAATGCCTCATTTTAACATTTTACTGGCAGTAAACCTGCTTATTCACTTCCTATATGGTATTCTTATGAATGAATCTTTTGAAAACTTATTTATGGACATAAGTTAACAAGTTTTGTTTTAAGGCAGGATTGTCCAATAAGACTTTATACATGCTCTGAATATGCGAATGTGCTGCAATGGGGGTATTTAGGCGTATATATATATATTAAAAGATGTTAGGCTATGCTTAAAAATTGAATGTGGCCATTATTTTGAATTTGAATGATTGTCTTATTTTAGGTCTTTAAGAGAAAATACTTTAAAATCCTTTCTTAGTACGCATCTAAAATCTTAGAAACTACTAGGTGATATGAAAAATTTACGATTATACACCTGACTTTTTATTGATCCTCCTTCTCAATTTAACAGTTTACAACTGAATTGTCTTATTTTAGGTATTTAAGAGAAAATACTTTAAATCCTTTCTTAGTACGCATTTAAATCCTAGAAACTAATTTTTTTTTTACTAGGTGATATGAAAAATTTACCATTATACACCTGACTTTTATTGATCCTCTTTCTCAATTTAACAGTTTACAACTGAGTTTTGGTTTACTAAACAATTATTCCTACTAGGCCTACATTGAATAAACCGGAAGTTCACCACAGTTTATTCACTTTTATCCTTTAAGAAATGTGTGTAAAAACAATGGTACAGTACGATGTAACGCTTGACCATGTGAAAAATGCGCAATATTATATTATTTTCATAACTTTTTCATCTCCTGTTTACAGTTGCAGACGATCATTCATGTTTTCACAACCTGACTTAAAAATTGACCTGATGAGTACTCCTCACATTTCACTTTTAAACTGTTACTGTATAGTGTAAAAGTTGGTCAACCATTGGAAGCACCTTCTAGGAATAAATCAAAGACTTAGGGGTCAACCTTTTGAAGCCATAATCGAAATATCCTTTTAATTACCATTTTGTGCTGCGCTAGATCTTAGGCTTTTAAAAGACACCTCAATCGTAAAAATCAGTGAAGTAGGTCGGGTTGAAAAGGACTGTTACAACTTATTGAATTATAAATATGGATAATGTTAAAACAGACATCGACATATCGCATGTTTACTACTGGATATAAGAAGGTAAAGCAATTTATAAAATCAATTATACAACACAATGAATATTGGCCGATACGTGGCAGAGCTGACCACTGGGGGTAGATTTCCGGGGGTAGATGTCCGGGGGTAGATTTCCAGTCGCGGGCTGTTTCTCGAACGTGTATAAGCCCCGCCCCTCGTGACGTCAAAATGACGTAGGCGTTTTTTCATGGGGGTAAATATCCGGGGGTAGAAATCCGCTACCCCAAAAAATATACCTATCTGCCCTAAAATATTAAATATCCTGAGTCGTATACATTACGATAGTGTTATTAACGAATCATTTAGTTTTGCAGTTGGCAATACTGAACCTGCGAATTGGTTTTGCTTATTATTGCTTAGTTGTTTCGCGCCTAAACACAGAGTGAGTTCGAGAGTGCAAAACTGCCTGTTACTTACTTCACTGGTTGCGTTCTTTTCTGACATTACTTTCGACTTTACAAGTTGGTCTATGATATGCAATAGCATTAAAAAGTTATAAGGTTAAGGTTTCCGAACAGGGTGCAGCACTATAACTTTTTCATATGATTTACGCATATAAATAAAAAATGTATGTATTTGAGTCACATATTTATTGTATTGAATCACATTGAATACCTAGCCTACTGTATAAGAAAATCACATACCGTACCATGAACCAAAGTATAGGATCCTTATACTTTAAGCAATTTATTTCGTTTTTGCATATACGACAACAGCTAATTTTAATTAAGCAGCAACAAAAAGCTGCGATACACAATGAGAACTGTCAAAGTAGGATTGTTTACAGTTAGGGTTGAGTTTTTAAGAATAATTTGTGATATTGTGCGATTTTTTATTTAGGTGCAGTGTTATAACATCATGACAATGGTAGATTTGTTATACTATATCATACCATAAATTTATGAACCAAATTTTATCTAACTGCGTCCTCCCCCATTGCAAACGTAAAGCTTGAGTATAGGGCCTAACTGCAATAAGCATTTTATACTTGCCAACTCCGTACGAAGGACGGGGCTCTTCTAGTGTATTAATTAATTAATTTATTTATTTATATCACACGGTTAAACCAATTTTACAAATTTGTGTACATCAAGATGGTAGCCTAAGATATTAATACTAAATAATATAATATAATAATATAAACTAAATAATATAATATAATATATTACTTAATAAATAAATATGTTTTCCTGACCGAATACAAAGTTCTGTTTTGCATGGAAATTGTTACAACTGTGTATACTGTACCACAATATTATAGCTACAAAGAAAAGTTTTAAAACTGTAAACTTACTAATGGCTTGTACTTTGCAACAGTTTATTGTTTGCATGTTTAACATTCAAAGAACAATGAAAAATTTTGGGTAATGACAATATGATTACAAAATACATCTCTTAGCTTCTAACGATTTTTATACGTGTGTCAATCTTTGATATTGTAACATAAATATATGGACATAACTGCGGCCCATTCTACGCACGGGAATCAAGTAGCCTATTTATAATTAGGATAGTTTTTTTATTCAGAACACCAGGTTTAGAATTTTTTGTCTACACGTTGGCATTTGCTAATGTTTATTTGTAGAGGAACGGGCTTGATACTGTAATAGTTTTTAGAATAATAATAAGCTATGATCGTTGTTAGCCTACTACTTGTAGACTAACCAGAGTTAAAATAAGCCCCCAGTTTCATTTTAAGGCTTTCCACATAGACAAAGTTGCTGCAAAATCGTTTTCGATCGGATTTAAAATGCATACCATGTATAATTAGATAAAGAAATGGGTAGTTACACAAAGTTTGTTTACAAAGTAATTTCTCAATAAAACTCTGAGAATTTTCCTTTAGACAGGCTATGTTTTTGACTTAAATAACAAAAGGGCTAATTTAATTTGACAAAATGTGAGGTCATTGGCAATCAAGATGTATAATAAAATACTAAAAGTGTGATATTAATTAGTCTACATATTGTTCTGCCGTAGAAAATTATATTTAACATATTTATAGATTTTATGGCACCAAGATTTGTGTGAAACACAAATAAAAATTCTATAGCCATTATTGTCACACACATTGTATATTTGTACCCAGGCAAAGCCGGGTTTTACTACTAGTATTATTTTCATAATTCGGCCTACTTATTTTTGCTTATTGGTTTACTAAAATTTCCAACATTCCACCGTGTTCTATATCAAATAAGCAAAGTATTGGTCTCATTGTTGAAAAATAAAAAGGACAAAGTAAACGGCTCAAACAAATACAGTAATCAGCACATTTTACTTTTGTATTACACCATTTTATGACGTCTAAAACGTCCATAACGTTCGTCGTTCAGTAAGACAAAATTAAGATGTGCTGATTACTGTATTTTTGTTCAGTACCCAACCAATAAACCAGTTATCGCTGGCAGGCATTTCATTTTTCTGGTTGCTATTCCAAACTTGTTTGTCCCGTTTCAAGGTCACATCCTGTCCTCCCATGATAACTATAAGTGATGTTACAATCCAACCA